TATATATTTTTGAAAGCATTCTTACTTTACAGCATTTTTTCACACCTGTCTAAAACTTGCATAGTACTGTACATATGTATACACATACACATATATACATATATTTAGCATATACTTGTACATCATATCCTGTAACTCCATTCCTCCCTGCTCTCCTTGATAAGCTACCAGTTTGTAAAATGAAAATACATGTTAGAGGTTATTCACCCATCTGCAGCCATTTTTTTAAAGAAAAATATTTATGATAAACATTGATAAAATTGTAGTGTGTCTGAACTTGGGCCCATGAATTATGCACTCTGTGAGGTCAGCTACCATGTGGAAGTATTCTAAATCATCCTCTGAATTATAGCTTTTGGACATCCACAGAAGATCACCTGGACATGGATCAAAGTTGAATCTGTACTGGGTATGTGGGTTACTCAACACCTAAGATCTGTTTCTAAGTTTGAGTTCAGGCCTTTTTATCCTCCCTGTGTTGGTTGCTTATGTATGCATTTAACAGGCAGTACAGCTTTTAATTCTCACTTTCAAAAATACCCCTTTGAGAGAAGTTGTAAAAATTTATTAAGAATTTGCATGGAACATTCAGTCCTGTAGGCAAAGTTCTTTCTCCTCCCCTCTTTTTTTCTGGGACATGGGTGGGCTCCATGTAGTTTCACTTGGCTTAGTTTCTTCAGTTTTGGAGATTTCCACTGACCTACTTGGGAAATCAAAATAGGAAAAAGCACCCACTTCATAATTAAAAGCAGGCATATGTTGAAACAGCTTCAGGAACAAAAAACTAAAGTTGACTGTATCATCTGTTGCAGTGTTAGTGACATGTTGAAGGAATTTTGGATTGGTGCAAAAAAATGTGTAGAGCACACTTTTCTCTGTGGACACATAACATAGTTTTTGCCAAGGTAGTAATCCTATATCTGTCTGCAAATGAAGATTCATATGATTATCAATTCCTTACACATAGAAAACTAGCTTGTTAGAATAAGTATTCTAATATACAATTCTTTCTATTATTTTTTTTATATGCTTTTTTATGTTTTTATATTGTATTTTGTTTTTGGGTTGTGTTTTAAGTCGTAAACTGCCCAGAGGCATGCACTTGAGATGAGTGGCTATATAAATGGAAGTTATTAAATTAAATTAAAATAAAATAAAATATAATAAATTCTAAGTGCTTACAGCTTTAATAACAACATGCAAAAGGAAAGGAAATGGAGACAGGAGGGAGAGAAGGAAACAAAAATTGAATTCCTATTTCTATTTGTCAGTGGGTGAGACCAAATTGTTTCCTCCTGTTCTGGGTAGATCTGCAGCTGCCTGATGATTTTAGGTATTCTGGCTGATGGAGAAGCCAAAGTATGCTTCCCTTCAAAATCTGCAAGCCCAAAGCTGCAGACATTTACTTAACTATACATTGTATGACTTAGCATTTTTTTCAGTATTATGTCTTCCTTTGCATTTTGTTATTTTATAAATTTTGTTGTGAAATGTACTTAAATCTGTGGAGTGATTGATTGTGTTAGAGTCTATCTCCAATGTGACTGCGCCAGCACAGATTTTATGACAGCTCATTGGGAGTTAGGTTGGAGAGCCTTTTGTTTTCAAAGTCTAAGCCACACTTCTCCAGTCTGGAATTCTCCAGATGTGTTGGAACAGTAATGCCCAAAGTTCTCAGCCAGTATGCCCAACACAAGTCTGGTGAACATCAGGTTATGAGAAGTTGGCATAGGACCTTTCTTTTCTTACATGGGTCTTCAGGCTTCTGTCCTTCTGGTGCTCAGGCTGCCATCAAAGTTCATTCTAACCATTTCTGGCTTCTGGAATTAGCCCCTAATCTCAAGAACTCCTCTTTTCCAACTCATCAGCTTTTTATTTTATGGATCAGGTTCTTAGCATCTTGATTAATGTTTGTTTTGTATAATTAACATCCAATGTGCTTTATGGAAATACAAGATGCACTGGTGCAAAACAACACACCAAGAGTTTCCCAACTAAAATTATAATTTACAGCACAAGAGAGAGAAGTGGGAATAAGGGATACAGTGGGAAAGAATATAGCGTTGTTTCTGTTGGTGGGCCAAATATTACAATTCAAGAATTAAATAATATGCTGTCTCCTTCTGGGTGTTTTATGATTCTAAGTATACAGTCCTGTTTAAGACCTTCATACACAGCCTGGAGAGACTTAAATTTTCTCATCTCAATTGCTTGATTTTTTTTTTTAAAAAGATCTAGGCAAAGCATGCAGAGCACGGCTTTTGGATTTCTTTCCACTCCCTCAAGAAGCATGCCGCTCTTGTGCCTGAGATTAGGAGGGGAAGGGGCTTAAGAACAGAACAGGCAGCATTAGTCCAAGTCCTTGTCCAACTACCACTCTTATAGGGTGGCATGGGTGGGGGGGGGTCTTTTCTCCACAGCCCCTAGCTGGATCCAGCCTTTTCAAACTCAGCTTTTCTTCCATTGGCTTCTCCTGCCATGCCAAATTCAGTCCTGTTCTGTTCTACTTTTGGAGAATTATCCTGCTGATGGTCAGGATTGGAGAGAATCACATAACTTCTTGTTCTCTCTGGCTTCTAGAATTCTTTTCTGGAATTCTTTTCAGCCCTTTTGCCAACAGCGGTCATAGGAGATGTCTGTATTTTTTCCTCTGTACTGAAGTAAGATGCTGTGCGTGTGTTTCTGTTTTCCCCTTGTGTTCAACCATGTGTATTTCTCTCTATTCATGCATTGGAAAGCACAGGATGGGCTGTGTATCACCCACTCAAGGTCGTATGACCAGAAGAGGGGATGGGGGCTTAGAATAGAGATGCACTGTGGAAGATTTTCTGGAATGTTTTCCTCTGCAGCGCCAAGCTGCAATTTGGCTCATTTTCAAACTCAGTCTTTCTTTTGCCAGCTTTCCTCCTACCCCTGAATTCAATCACATTCTGCTCAGTGTTTGGAAAGCTATTCCCACTGACAGACAGATAGAGCCCCAACCCCCTTTACATAATTTATTTCCTATATTTCGTTGGGCTGGAAAGAATAATAAAAAAAAAAATGGTGGCTACTTTTTTCCTTCCCTTTTTACCATCTTCCCTACACAGAGGGGCACATTTGCAAATCAGATGGCTGGGGAAAAAAGATTTAGGCCTCCCTGGAAATCTTAATCAGAATCATTGCTCCTATAGCTCAGCCTTCTCCAAATTCAGTGCCTTTTGGAGACTTGGCCTTCAGCTCCCAGACCTGACAGAATTCTGAAGGGTGCCCTGTTGGGGGAAGGTTGCTAAGCTAAACCCCAATAAAAAATTGAAGGGTATTCCTGCCTTTCATATTTAATATATCCTATCGCTTAGCCCTTAATTATAATAGGTATGTGGTTGTACATAACAGAACAGTCCTGATAGTGATGGTTTGACAGAATTTTATGATGAGCCATCCAGGGTCATGTCGGGAGGTGTTTCCTACCTTAGGAGACAGTAAGGAAAGATAGTCATTTGAGGAAGCATGATACCTTTGGAAGGCACATTCTATTTTTTTGCCTCAGTATTTGTTCACTTGGGTATAGTTAGTAGACATAGTCATGGTTATGGGTGATTCATCCATCTCTTAGTTCGAAATACAGTCCAGAAATTGTTAAATCAAAATAAAGACCCATGCAACTTTTGATGGCTTCTTGGGCATGTGTTCATTTCTTCCTTTTTTTCCCTCCCCCCCCCCCCTTCCCCCCCCCCCCTT